GTCGCAGAGCGTTACACTGCAGAGATCGAAGCGCAGCTGCGCCACACAACGACCGACCTCGCAGCGGCGACCGATGCCATCGCTGCGTCGACACTGGCAGCGGTCACCAAGGACGACCACATCGCCTCGCTCCAAGCCGAGCTCGAGCTCACGACCAGCAACCTCGCACACGCCGAGCACGCGCTCGACCAGACCAAGCGCGACCTTGCAACGTCCAAAGCGACCGAGGACGACAACGCGGTCCTCCTCCGCGACGCTACCAACACCATCGCGTCCAAGGACGAGCGCATCCAGACGCTTCAAGCCGACCTCGACAGCCATGTACAAGATCTCGCTGGTGTCGCGGGCCAGCTCGAGCAAGCGCACCAGGACTTGGCGTCGCATCAAGCGCAAGAACGCGAGCTTCAGGACCAACTCGACCGCCTCCAGGACGAGCTCACGGACAGCTTGACGGATCGATGCTATGCGACGATGAACCACGACGCCACCGTCAAGGCCATGGACGAGCGTCTCGAGATGCTGCAAGCCGACGTCGACGGTCATGAGCAGCGGATGCTCCTTGAAGTATCGGCCAAGGACGCCTCGTTGGTCTCGCATCAAGATCGCATCGACGAACTACTGGGTCAGCTTGCCGTGGCCAAGATGGCCGCTGGCAGCGCCCAGCTTCTTCACGACGCGACGATCGAGACCAAGGAAGCGGCCCTCCGCCAGCTTCAAGTCGACCTCGACGCTAAGGACGAGCTTTTGGCCGCACACGAAGGTCAAGTGCGCGATCTCCAAGGTCAGCTTCGAGTCGTCCAAGCCAAGCTTGGAGCTGCCGAGGCAGCTCAAGTCAGTGCAGCCCGCGCTCACGCAACACTCCTACAATTCAAGGACGAGCAGATGTACATGCTCCAAGAAGACCTCGAGGGCCGCACGAACCAAGTCGCAGCACTCGTTCGCACGCGCGATCAGCTCCAATGCGACGTGGTCGAGCTCCAATCCGACGTGACCGAGTTCCAAGCGCAGATTCGCCAGCTCCAAGGCGGTCTCGACGACCACGCGCAGCAAGACCAGGAGCTTGGCCGTCTGATGGAGCAGCTGGAGCAAGTTCAGCGCGACTTGGCTGGCAACGACGAGCTGCTGCTGTTGGCGCACGAGAACCAAGTGTGTGATCTCCGAGCCCAAGTCGATGACCTCCAAGATGTCGTGCTCGAGCTCAACCAGCTGCTGGAGACGAGCGAAGCGTACACGCGAGTCCTCGAGTCCGACGCCGTCGGGAGCCGCGAAGAAGCGCCCGAGGTGACCCACCACCGCTGCGACCGTCGCACCTCCGTGTACACGGACGCGATGGCTGGTCGACCTGTATCTCTGTAGTTATATCTCTCAATTGTACATTGCATGTAAGACAAAAATGATAATCCAATGAAAAAGTACAATATTAAATAGGAACCAGGAGCTTAGTGGCAGAGATCCGAGGCGTCGCTGGCGAGCGCGTCGATCGCGAGGTCGACTTTGTGCAATGTGATGAGGTCGTGCGTCGTGAGGTCGGCCTCAAAGTGCCGGAGCATCTCCAGCGTCTTGCGCACGCAGTCGAGGCTCGAGGCG